ATATTGACCTTTCTGCCGATGCCACCGCGCAGGGGAGACTGGGTATTAGGCACAAGAGTGTTTCGACCTCGCTAAGCATCCGCCCGGCCGGGCCGTGCGTCGCCGATTATTTCTCCCACACTTCTGCGATAGAGGTCGGTGCTTTGGGAAAGCCACTGCTCAGCACCGACAGCTGACAGTTTAGCCGTTCATGATTGACGGACGGCGGCAGCTTCAATGCGTCCTGTGATGACAGCTGCTGGTCTGACGGACTCTCCAGAACTGCCTGTTTACGATCTGCAGCGAGCTGGAGACCTGGGGTATGGAAGCGGCTCTCCAGCCCGGCGATCACTAGGTTCAAGGCCTCCAACGAGGTCCTGGGTGACATCTGACAGTCATTCGCTGTCAGGCCGTCGTGCCGCACTTTCCCCAGTGTTTTTGTGCGCCTCCTGGGTGGTGGCGTGACTAGGTCCAGATCAGCAGCCTTTGCTGCAGCTTCCTCAGTCTCTCTCTTCAGTCTACCGTCCCGCAGGTCCTGCAGACGGCTTTTGAGAACTTGAAGCGACTGCAGTGCCGATTGAGCTGTGCAGGAGGCATTCTGCAGGAACGCTGCCACCATTTCACAAGGCTGAAAGATGGCCAGGACTAGTACCAGTGAGATGTACGTGGGAGACTCTTCCGCCTTCGGGGATAGTCCGGCGATTTTTTACTCTCGTCTCGCCACGAATTGAGCGATTCTCCTCCAGGTTCCAGAGCAGCTCCTCCATGTGATCGTACAGATACAGCATCCGTTTCATGGCTGTCGCCCGCATGCAACATATCGTGGCGCATATCCCCAGTGGTTTACGAAGCACCTCTCCTTCGCAGAACAGCGACTTGTGCAGGCCTGTATGCTTTGCCGATAACTATGTCAGGGAAACCTACCAAGTGGTGAGATAGTCTGGGGATGAAATGTCCGCCTCTCAGCCAAAAATTCGGGTGTTCAAGTCCCACCTGCCGTTCGGTGTCGCCGCCTACCAGCCCACGTAAGATATTGGCGACTCTCTATCCCCCTAGCTGTGGATGCGGCGTAATGTCATCACTTAAAAGGAAAGCTACCATTTACAGCCACGGTAAACAGACCCTGAGCGCAGCCCTATGCCAGATTCACATCACAGCGCCCTTGTTTCAGAGGAGTTCAAGGTATATCCTAAAAAGACGTGATAAAATGTGGTATGCCTTCTTTTCATGTGACAATGATCAGTCATGTGTTAGAGGTCCTCCTCGTGGTGGTAATGGTAGTAAAATTATCCTCATTGTATGGAAGCTAAGGTACCAGTATTTTGTAGGTAGTGTAGGTGAATTATTCAGCGCTCAGTTCATAACATTTGAAGTGATGCGTCCTGTCTAGTTGCCCTTCCAGGTCAGCCGAAGTCCCAAATTTACATGTCTTGCAAAAGGACGCACTCATGTGTGGAGATGAATGGCGATCATACAGGCACTGGGTTCCCTCGTCGCTACTCCCTTTGACGGCTTTGCGACTGTTGATGCCCATACCTAGCTAGACCTACATTTTTACAAGGTTAGATAAAGTCAGGTTACGATAAATCACGGATCGTTTTCGTTAAGCCCTTGACTTTTGGACTTGCCGTTGGTGAACATTAATCGTATTGGGGTTGTGTCGGCTCCGCGCAACTGCACCCCTTTCTCAGTTGGACTGCGTATCGCTTACACGATCATCTTCGTGTCGTATTTTTTTGCGAATTTGGTGCAAAATGGCCGCATCATTTATCGTGTTATGACGAGCACCAGGCAAGAACATTGTATCATATGCTTTAACAGGCCAAACGAGCGTCTGTTGATGCACAGGAGGCGAGTGCACTATTCGTTACACACGCTCAAAGTCCGAAAATTTCAAAAGCTAGTGAAATGAGCTTTAAGTTTAGAAACTATGATAGTAGTATCCGAAACATCTGGTGAAAGCGAAGGAAATAGACGGTGGTATTGCCAAGATCATTGCAGAGCAGAGGACTCGATGGGTAAGATTTCCCTTTCCAAATCCATCCGTTACCCTTGGGGCTGTGCCCACACTAGAGGCATTCACGGGTAAAATTTCCTTGACTCAATCCGCTCGTTACCTATGTTGTTGACGCCATACCCGACCTGACCAGCTATGCCCACTAGTTACCCACCTGTGTGCACTTTTCCAGACATTTAATTACGATTTGTGGGAGAGGCACAGGAACGTTTGCATGCAAACATGCTCTTTTGCGTCGTCACTTACACAATGAACGTGACGGGGCTAATTATGCCGAAACGAAGCGTAAACAGAAACAATGTGTACAATATCTCCTTGAATCTTCCCGAAATTTTGTAAATGTCTTGCCCATACTACTGCACATAACTTTCCCAAGTCTGCACTAACTCACCCTATTGCTCATATTACATCTAAACCCAACGGGCTCAACTCAACTGTGAAGTCTTCTAGATAACACCTTCTCGTTACTCATTGCTTATCAAATATACGGTTCGTGACCTATTCCTAATTGGAAACTTCGGGGGTGTGACCCGTGAAGCTTCCTTTTGCGAGTGCCGCTATCTGGCACTGTCCGCATTAAAAGCTTTTTAAGCACCTTTGCTCGTTAAAAAATATCCATCGCAAATCGAACGCGTGTGCATAGCGCGGAAGATTTGATTGCCGTCACTTGAGATCCAACAGCTCTAATATCGCCCAGGGTTGTCATGAACATATCGAAACAATTTAACGTACAGATAAAATATTTGACGACACAAGACCTTAAGCAATTCCTCAAAACGTAACAGCGACAACTGCTCCAGAGTTTGAGATTGGTAAAAAAACTTGGCATGGGCCAAGTCCGGCATGAATGCCGACGCTTTTCGACAACGATTGTAGCAGATCTCAAGACGAGGAAGAGCCCCATCCAATCGGCGCAAATCATATATGCCTTAAATGCAATGGTCGCAAGGAGCGAGGTTGGTTGGTTGGTTGGTTGGTTGTGCCCCAGAGACCAGGGAGTGTGCGGGCACCCAGTGCACCTGCCTGGCTGTGGGCCTGTGGTGGATGCCGTCATTTCGAGGCTGAAGATTCCGGAGATGTGTCCAAATGCGGAAAAGTTGGCTGCTAAATACCAACAAAATCAAGCCCGACACTTGATCTCAAGATTGTATGCAACAACCTGTTTCTGGTGGCATGCCGGCTAGTCGATGTTATGATTAGCTAATGGCTAGTGACAGATGCAGAGCTTTTGTTTTGACAATCATAGCGGAGTACGAAATATGCTGGAACTCAAACTACATTTCGGATGTCGCGAACGCCATTGTGAACGCCTCAAGTTCAACAGCCAGAGGAAATGAAATACACGACGTAGGTGACTCGTGAAGTTACTCTATGCCATTGCGTGTAAAAACCCGTTGGAGCGTGTGTGACTAAGGCTTTTTGCGGTTAATGCCTGACGAAAGTGCCGGCGCTCGCAAACGCCTGTGGGGCTTTCGGTAATATTGTTAAGTCGTCGTGACCTCATAGGGGGAATGCAAGACCGCCGTGGAAGGCGTCAGAGGAATCAGTAGCGCCCGGTCGATTGACGCGGCCATCTTAAACCAAAAGGGACGGCACCTGAGCGATCGAGGGTGCCACGACAGATCAGCAAAGGGGTGCATTACAAAGGGGTACATAACAAAGGGGTACATTACAAAGGGGTACATTACAAAGAGGTACATTACAAAGGGATACATTACAAAGGGGTACATTACAAAGGGGTACATTACAAAGGGGTACATTACAAAGGGGTACATTACAAAGGGGTACATTACAAAGGAGTACATTACAAAGGGGTACATTACAAAGGGGTACATTACAAAGGCATCAGCAGTAAACAGCACAGGGTGTTTCGAGTAAGCGAGAAAAATCCAAGACCAAACTGGTGGGGCCCTGTGCGATCAAGATTGCCGGAGCGGGTTAGCAGAAAAAAACCGACAAGAGTGTAGAATCCTCCACAGATGAGAGCAAATGGAAAGGACGCTAAACCACTGTAAAGGGCCTTCGAGCATCGAATGCCTCAGTAGGTAACTTGCATGGCCCACAGCAACAGCGCAGGGCCTTCTGAGTAAGTAGAAAGTACTTGAGCGCTCCTAAGCGACGACGACTTCCATCACAGCCGCAATCCTGTAAGCTATGCAAACGCATGGATCATGTCGCGCTGTTTTCCTTTTGTGCGCGTATGGCGTAGTTGGGCGTTCGTTTAAAATCGAGTACTGGATCGCTTTAAAAAAAAAATAGCTCCTTAACGTAAAATTGCACGCTGTAGCCTATCTCTCCAATATCCCAGAAGTTTCCTTCCTATGGCAGATTAAGAACATATTTTGACAATAGATTCACGGCGGCAAAACACATCAAGAAAGCTTTATACAGCTAACGTGTAAAGTTTGCCGCGTTGTGTAGAGCGCGCGTTTCTCTCCATCTTCCTGTTGTCTACAAAATCAGATAAAAGCGTTGAATGGGCTCCTAAGAGTCCAATGGCCCTTCGAATATTTGTGCTCTGCTCTGCCGAATATTTGTGCTCTGCTCTGCCGAATATTTGTGCTCTGCCCTCACCAAGCCCAATGTGAGCGCGAGAATGTTGCTATCATATTCGTGTGCTGTCTAGTAAAACGTGATGAAAAGTTAGGTTCAGGAAGCTGGTCGGTTCAAGATCAAGCAGCCCATCTGATCGTGAATTTATTTCAGATAAGCTTACAGCTCGGTTGTGATTTGCACGCTTGTCAGATATTATCTTACACATACATACTGTGACAACACGTGCTGGGACACTGTAACAGGAAAATGGACCAGCCGTGGCGCTGAACTGAGCAGCACTCCCGTGAACAATACACCAGGCAAAGTACCACGCATTCGCCCTCTGGTGCCAGCCGGCACGAAGCTGCAAAAAAGAGCATAAGCGAAACTGAGTCTTCCCTCTTCAATTGCTCTTACAACGCAACGGCAAAACATGAGCAACACTAGGGATTGGATGACAATAGATGCACTATCGGCAGCTTTTGAACGAGAGGGACCGGAGATCATGGGCCAGCCCTGACCGGGACATGACCCGAGCTTGGGTCAGGGTGAGCCGACGTAAGGCAACAGTCAAAACGCACACTGTAACAACGTGAGAGGTGCACGCAACGATGACCGTGGCCGGGACCGCAGACGCTGGTGTTGAAACTGGTCAACAGATGACAGCATTACTGCGAGCGCCCGGAAACCTGTCTACAAAGGTGAATATAATATATCTCGAACCACGCAGCCGCTGCGCCCGATAAAGTGGGCTGTCTTTCGTCTTCTGACTAAAGCGTGGATCGTTATGTTAATATTACGACACTCCACAATCAAGCCAACTCGCTGGTACGCTGGGAGCCAGGGGAGCCCATATGCTTGGGTTCGAACCACGCACCTTCTCAGACGCATGCTCCCCAGTCTTGACGCGCACATCCGCGCACACCCACTTACATGCCAAAATGGGATGAGAAGAACACAGATATTATATATATATATATATATATATATATATATATATATATATATATATCGGAGCGTGGGCAGATGCCTCGATCCGGCCACTTGGTGGCATATGTACCATCTGTTTGCTTAGTGTCCATTTGACAAATCACTTGGCAACTGAACTTGGCTAACTGCTAAATATCCAACAGTCCGGCATTGCACGTGACCGCAACCCTTACTCGGCGTCCGGGGCGTCCGGACGGCGTGACGGCGCTGCCTCGGCCTCCATCGGCTCCGGCTCCGGCTCGGTCTCGCTGCCGGCTGGCTCGGGCTCGGCCTCGGGCTCGAGCTCGAGCGCGGCCTCGGACTCCGGCTCAGGCTCCGGTTCGGGCTCCGGCTCTGCCTCCGGCTCTGGTTCGGGCTCCGGCTCGGCCCCCAGCGCCAGCTCCGGCTCCAGCTCGCCAGGCCTCGGCGGCGTGCCCAGCTCAGTCTGCATCACGCACACGCCGTTGATCACCTGGCGCTCGCGCTGCTCGGCCACCCACTGCGGCGCGAGCCACTGCGGCGCCGTGGGCTTGCGGCGCGAACTGCGGCCAGCCGGCGCCGGCTCGACGCCCACCTCCGCCTCGTCGTCGGCGGCGTCGCGGCGGCCGGGCGCCGGACTGCTGCGGGCCGAAAGACCTGACGCGTCGCTGCCGCGTTCGCCGTCGTCCGACTTCATGCTCAGGTCCAGGCCGCCGGCCGGCTCGTCGTCGGAGGTGCGCAGGCCGAAGTAGGGGAAGGGAAGGCCCCCGGGCAGCGCGCCGGGCAGCGCACCGAACGGCAGCGGCGCCGGCAGGCCCTTCTCGCGCTGCAGCTCCTGCAGGCGGCCGCGGAGCAGCAGCCTGAACTGGAGCGGGTCGAAGTGCGGCGCGTCGCGGCCGCCGACCGTCAGAGGCGCGCCCTCGCCCGCCGGCTGCTGCTTCATGCGCATGCGGTGGTTGTGGAACCAGTTTGTGATGGTGCGGTGCGTCAGGCCCAGCTCCTGGCAGAGGAACTCGACGGCCGTCATGTTGGGGTATGGGTCGAGCGCGAACGCCAGCAGCAGCGCCTCCTTCTGCTCGTCGGTGAAGAGCACACGCGATTTCTTCGAGTTGGGGCTGTTGGACATGGAGGAATAGGCGTCAGCGCTGTCGCCCTCTCCGGCCGGATCGACGCGCGGACGTCGCCGTTTGTTGCTCTCCTTACGCGCGCTCTTGATGCGCTGCAGCTTGTGGATATTTTGCGAGTCCTCCAGCCACATCTTCATGCGAATAAAGGGTTCACGACCCTTGATGCTCAGCAGGTGCCATGGCTTCGGCTTGGATAGCAGCTCACTGACCGAGCCCTGGGACAGGCCCAGCACCACCTCGCCGAACAACTGCAACAGAGGCAAAACAATGCGACAAATGTAAACCGATCACGCTCTGCTCCGTGGTTCAACGGCCTCCGTGATGAGCGGTAACAAATCATGTTTACACAAAAGATTAGTCTAAACATGCATCGGCTTAAGCCCCTGCCTGGACACTACCTATTTCGCTAGCAAGTCGGCTTTAAAAAACGTCAGACCTGCCCGAAGATTATTGACCACCTAACACACCGCGCGCAAGCTTCGTGCTTACCTTCTGGCCGATATTGTTGGCGAGCAGCACTTCCTTGATCTTGGTGGTGATGTAGAGCGTGTCCAGTTCGGGCGTGATGGCGGCCGTCTTGTACACAGACATGGGTAGCGGCGCCGGCGGTAGACGCAAGCCGTACTTCATCAGTGGGTCCATACCGGCCAGCCGCGACGCTAGCGCCGCCGGCGGCAGGCCCGGGAACGATGCCAGCGACACCACCGGCGGCAGCGGCGACTCGAGCGAGCGCGGCAGCTCGGGCCCCTTGGTCGGCAGCTTGACGAAGCCTGGCGGCAGAGTCACAGCGCGTGAGGCGGCATCCGGAGGCTGACGGGGGCGTCCAACAGTGAGAGGAGGTGGAGCCGGCGCCGCGTGGTACCGTCAGCTAATTCGGCCTAAACATTTCACTGCGTAATCTTTACATGCGCCGAGATCAGACACTGTTGAAGGCAGTGTTCCACATTTGTATGGGATTTTGAACTGAAATGATCATCTTGAAGATCATTCGGTGCAGTTTACAGCCATGCTCTTCTTAAGACATAAGCCCATCTAGTTTCTGAGCTAAACGCACGCGAAGATGTGCAGACAAATTCAGGGAGACTATTTCAAGGTCACCCAGGCATCCATGACGTCATTATATCATTCAGATTTTGTCATTCCATTATCAATGCGATGATAAAGGCCAAGAGAAGTAAAACGTTCCAGTCATTCACATCCAGCGTTGGTGAGCACGGTTTTTCAGATATAACGGCTGATGATTGGGTCGGTTGGTGTGGATACAGCCTCTGCGGTGAGGGCTGTATTCAGGTCTTTCAGTTCCCGGGCACAAAAGTAGTTGACGCGCAATTAAGCCAAAAATATATATGATTCACGTCGGACGGTCGTGCTTCTAGCCATTGAGTAAATCTGATTCAGTGCCCGTGTATCTAAGGCGAGTGACTGAAGCAGGCGCCGGGCGTTGTCAGGGAGAGGTGACGTCAGGGAGGGAGAGGGAGAGGCCGTTGTCAGGGAGAGGCCGTGGCCAGGCTGTCGGGGGATTTCAAGTGTTCATATATCACGTACGAAGCTGACCTTGTGGAGCATTCGTTTAAGATGTTACGTTGTGCTGGTCAACGCGGGCGCTGCGACTTCACCGCAAGCACTACGAAATACTGGAGGCATGCATTCATGCCTCCAGTCTGAATTATGGCGCGGCGGCCCCGCACCACCGATCCTTCTCAGCTGTCCTTGGGCAGGGGTCCCAACCACGCAGCCACTAACCTATCTGGATACTCACTCGGTCGTTTACCTCCGTTGAAGCATCCCGTGCGCATCAGCTTGTCGGGCGCGATCTTGTACTGACTCGCCACCAGCTTGTGCACGGCGCTGTCGTCCTCCAAGAACATCTTCATGCGGATAAAGGGCTCGCGACCCTTCTGCGTGAGCATGTGCCAGGGCTTCGGACGCGCCAGTAGGTCGGAGACGGAACCCTGCGAGAGGCCCAGCACCGACTCGCCGAACAGCCGCTGCGAGAGGGAGTATTGACTCAGGTGCTCCTTTATCTGCCGGAGGTGAACCATGGTAAGACGAGGCGGCTGAGGTCCCAACCGCCTGGAACGCCAGGAGTCTGAACCCGAGACGGCAACTGAGAGTGGTCAGCTGTCCATCCCGAACCGATGCACGGCTCGCTAAGGGACCTGGCAGCGGCTGGAGATTCACCCTAACTCGATACACGGTGCATTGAGAAATGAAACCCAGGACGGGAGGCCGAGGCCAAGGACCCCGAAACCAACAGCATTAGAGAAAGGGGCCGATGGAGCTCAGGTGGTGGTCCGAGGGGTCAGTCGAAGTACACTTTGTTCATTTGATTTTAATCTTCGAAGGCAAACGCTTGCAGATTTGACGGCTCAAAGACGTGCTCGGGATCGAAATTAGTTCATTGTTAAGGCATGCAGCTCGCGGCTTGTTCACATTGTTATGGGCCGAACGCTGTTTTGACGTCGAAGCTGAGGGTCTGATATTTTATCATCCGCTGCGCGCCTTATGAAGAAACTTCCGCCCAAAACTTATTAAATCACAACAACCCGTTCCTAAGGCCCAGTACTAACGGGATGCCATCGGCACCCCGAGTCCTAGTCAGTGTCGAGAATGACATCAACGGAAAATTTTCACAACACAGCTGATCATTTTTCATAGCTGCTCTCCTTGACAAGCATCACTCCCCATGAACCAAGACCTACATTGCTATAACTGAACACTTCCTTCTCGTCTGGTCTTGCCCCGTCCCGTCCCGTTGGACGCAGCACGCAGCACTCACCCTCTTGACCACCTGTTCGGTGTTGATGTTGCTGTACTGATCGAACTGCTGCTGCGTGATGGGCGGCAGCACAGCCTTGGCCGGTCGTTGCGGCTGCGCAGGTAACGGCGGCAGGCTGGCGCTGCTGATCAGCGAGTTGGTGATACTCGCCATGCGCTGCAGGGGACTGGCTGACGTCACTGGCTCATCGGCCGCGCTGGCGGCGGCGGCGGCGGCGGCAGCAGCAGCGGCGGCGGCGGCTGCGGCGGCGGCCGCCGCGGAGTGCATGAAGAAGCCGCCCGGGGGCAGGCCGGGCAGCAGGCCGGAGGCGCTCGCCAGCGACGGCGGACTGGCCGGGGCGGCAGCTGCGGGCGGAAAACGCCGGCCGCTACCGTTACAGGCTCAGCTAAACGGATCCTGTCTGCACATCTCGATAGTGGGGGTGAAGGTAAATCCAGGTAAAGGCGATCCATTCATCCAGGTAAAATTCATTCATAACTTAAAAGGTAAAATGAATATATATATATATATATATATATATATATATATATATTCATTATATATTCATTATATATATATATTCATTATTTAATTTTGCCTTTTAATATATATATATATATATATATATATATTAAAAGGCAAAATTAAATATGAAGCACCATAAATTAAAAGGTCAAATTAATGAAGTCATCATCCAGGTAAAGGTGATCCATTTGCTTTGGCAAGCCTCCGATTTTGGTGCGTAAGGCTGGTTGTGTGAACAGGAGTTCTCTTTGACCAGTCCCGACAGAACAAGGCCTGGCTTCTGCCAGCGTACACCAGCTGAAAAAAGTACGCGCTAGCGCTCAATCAAATGGACTGGCACTGATTTCTCGTTTTGAAGGCCAAACATTTGCAGTTGCAGAATCTCTTACTCAATGAGTAACGTATCGGCGGTCGACCATTTGTTTGATTCGTTTGATCTATCGAATGTTTGTTGTTATTGTACTGCGTTCCCGTGGTCGCACAAGCCAGCGCGATAGGCGAGTGTGCAGCGCACTTTGGTGGCGGCGGCGCGCCTGCTTACCGTGCGGCTCGTCCTCGGGGCGCGGCCGGACGTGCGTGAAGGCGGGAGGCGGACCGGCTTTGGTGGCTTTGGTGGCGGCGGCGCGCCCGCTTACCGTGCGGCTCGTCCTCGGGGCGCGGCCGGACGTGCGTGAAGGCGGGAGGCGGACCGGCTTTGGTGGCTTTGGTGGCGGCGGCGCGCCCGCTTACCGTGCGGCTCGTCCTCGGGGCGCGGCCGGACGTGCGTGAAGGCGGGAGGCGGACCGGCTTTGGTGGCTTTGGTGGCGGCGGCACGTCCGCTTACCGTGCGGCTCGTCCTCGGGGCGCGGCCGGACGTGCGTGAAGGCGGGAGGCGGACCGGCTTCGGCGCGCTGGCCCTCCTCTCGGCGCGGCTCGGCCGCCGGGCCGGTGCCGTTCGGCGCCGGCTGTCGCTGGATGTGCCGCACCAGCTCCTGGTTGTAGAGGTCCATGGCGAGACGCAGCTCCTCCGGCGAGCGCATGCTGGAGAACAGGGAGACGCTGACATCAGCGCGGCACACCGCTCCTAGGCGCCGCCTGTCGCCGCTCCTTCAGTCGCCAGACCAGTTCGACATTGCGTGTGTGCGGGGTTGGGCGTGGCTTAGCAAACGTCATGCATGTGACAGTAACATGGCGGTATGATGTTGTGCGGCACTTGTGAGCACCGGCCGAAGCGTGACACTGCTGAGTGTCCGCGCTCCACGACCAGAGCATAAGGTGGCCACTCAGCAAGGCTGCGCGTGCTGATCCTGCACAGGCTGAGTGGTGCTGGCACGCGCAGCGCTCAGAGTGAGCCACGCCCTTTTCGGCCGGGGTGACCTGAGGTCGACCGACTGCCGCGTGCCGGCGGATAGGCGGCATCGCTCACCAGCCGTGGTTTCGACAGGTGAATCAAAACGCTCGCAAGCCCTGGCTGCTATTGTCTGTACTTCTCATACATCCCCCTGATGATCATTTTTCTGATTTGAGCCCAAGTAAACTTGACCTTCCGGCGGGTACTTCGGACGGCTGGCATCAGTGAAATGCGGGTTGTTGTGATAAGTAACATTGCACGTAACATTTTGAAAGTGGGGACCCAGAGGCTAGAAAAAATTAATGGTCTCTTAACGCAAGGTCTCATAAGCTATTAATTCTGTTTGAATTTCACAAGAGTTCGCAGATAATTTTTTCACATCAAACGCCAGTATTATTGTTGTGCTCCGTCACCCTAAATCTGTTCGCGCTCAAGCGTATCACGAGCCTCCTTATGAAGAATATCAGGAGTCTAGTTCCCAGGCTCCGCTTCCCGCGGCACCGGCGCTTTTAAAAATAAGTCATTTTCCTTGCTCAGTTGAAAGAAGTGCTATTCAGCGAGCGCGACGCGCGTCGTCACGCACCCTTTTAAGATGCGCTAGCGACTGCGCTGGTGATATCAGCGCCCAGGAGCCATGCCAGCTGACATGAGCTAGGACAGGGGTTTAAAAAGGGATACGAAGATGCTGCTGTTATCGGCGTGGCTTGTTAACGTCCTTCGCCGTGAGCGTCCCTGATGTGGACAGGCCTTCGCCTTGGACAAGGTGTGGGGAGGGGGGGGGGGGGGGTGGGCTGCAGGGCAGAGCAGCTGCGGGCGACGCTGACATATTGCCTGGAGCGGCGCCAGGTGGGTAGTGGGGAGGGGGAGGGAACGACACTGCAGACTGGACGGCCGGCTAGGTGACACGGTACCGCCCGGATCGTCAGTATTTCTGGAGGAGTCTGGAAGGGTTTGACAAGATCATTTGTGTGCGTGACCATGGGACGAATAAAAAAATTCACGAGACATACGATGCAAATTCGGAAGCCCGTCCCCACAGCATCCTCATGCGACTGTTTCGGAAAGTTTTATGTGGAGGGGGCGCAAGGCATTAACTGGGCACTACATGAAGGTTCCCTTACGCAACCTGCCGAGAATAACAACAACAGATTATGCTCACATGTGCTACAGTCACTGCGGCCCCAGTCCCAAACGCCCGACTTCGGCTATATTTTTTGGTATGAATCACTTTTGTTACGATCCTGGACAATTGGTTTCGTAGAAATAAGAGTACCAGAACGGAGTGTTCGCACATAGGAAACATTGCAAATTCCCATCAGGACGGCGTTCATGCATAATAAAATTAGGAAACAGACGTGGATTTGGCCATGGTTCTGCAGTGCTGGCAGTTGTCCACAGTCTACAGTCGTGGATTTGGCGGTGGTTCCGCCGTGTTGACAGTTGTTCGCAGGGTACAGTTGTGGATTTGGCTGTGTTTCTGCAGTGTTGGCAGTTGTTTGCGGTCTATAGTCGTGGATTCGGCCGTGTTTCTGCAGTGCTGGCAGCTGTTCGCAGTCCACAGTCGTGGATTTGACCGTGGTTCTGCGGTGTCGGCAGTTGCTCGCAGTCTACAGTCGTGGATTCGGCCGTGGCTCTGCAGTGTTGGTAGTTGCTCGCAGTCTACAGTCGTGGACTTGGCCGTGGCTCTGCAGTGTTGCTAGTTTTCGCAGTCTCGCAGTTGTCTGGTCGAACACATTGTGGCGTTCGATGCTCAACGGGGCGCAAATGTCAAAGGCAAAATTTGATCGTGAGGCTATTGCACGCACGCCTCCAATTTGGAGGATCGCGTGCTACCGGTCGGCTCAGATCACAGCGCAGAGCATTGTCCGAAAACTCAGCGTGGTATCTGGGTGAGCCTAATGTCTTTATCACTGCCAGCGTGACTGGAACATGCATACTCCACTCTGTGGGGCAGTTGGCTGAAGTTGATGCTGGATATAGAGGTCGGAATCCACACTAAACAACAGTGCTGTAGTTCCGCTCCGGCCGCCGGAAAGAGCGTTCGACTCATTTGCTGATTATAATTCTTCTGTAGTCTGGCAGAATTGCAATTAGCCACAACGGGTGGCAAGCGACTGCAAGAACCATCGCAATCGACCCCCACTGGCGCCACCAATGGTTACACAACTCAAAACGCAGACAGCCTTCTGGCGCTATACAGCCCCGGCGGCCCGTGTATTACTGGCCCGTGATGAACTTGACTCGCAACTATGATGAACTGAACTGGACTATGATGAACTGGACTCGCAACCGGCGCCGGGGGGCTTGGGAACCGCACGCGTTTGTACTACAATGTGCACGCTGAGATGGATCGATTTCACGCAGTGTTTAAGTGCGCTGGATTACCCAATCTGTACGTCAACACTATCCTCCTCCCGCTATTTTACACCATCGTGATGCATGTGCTTCAACAGGGATGTCGACGTATATGAATTGATTTATAGGCGTGCTTGGTGGAATTGCGCCGCCTAAATAAGCAAAGCGAGAGAGCGCTGCGCATACGGTGAGGCGCAGGGCATGGCTGGGCTCTCGGTCAGCGCGCTGCTGTCAAGGACGGGTGTCCTGGTCACCGAGAGACGACCACCACTCCCTGGATTGATGATCGACACATGTAACTATACGCCTCCTCGAAATAAATCCTGCAGCCTTAACAACCAGACATACCAAAGCAGTCCCTGGACGCGGCCATAAGATCAGCCGTTCTCCGGATTTCACCCCGTCGTTTTCCCGTCACATATCCCGGACACCTACCGCTGGTACTGGTCCAGCGGGAAGCCCGGCCCCAGGTCGGGTCTCTGGCTCATCATTTTGGCCAGGTGGTCACGATAGAGCCGGGCGATCTTCTCCTGGGCCATCTCGTCAGAGCCGCCAGGGCCGACGAGCTGTCGCAGAGGCTGGAACGGGTGCCGCGCTTCCGCCAGAGGAGACTGGAAACAGAAGGGTCGGCAGAGATCAGGCGAGGCCAGCAGAGGTCATCAGACGCCTGCGAGCCGTCGCAGAGGCTGGAACAGGTGCCGCGTCTTCGACAGCAGAGATTAAGACACAGCAGGGTCAACGAGAGGCGAGAGACGAGAGGCGAGGTCTGTCAGTGACAATACATTGCAAGTGTCCTTCGGGGTCCTCAACATGGCAGGGTCAACGCGGGTCACGTAGAGTCAGCTAGCAAGAGATAAACGAAAGCACGACCAGGTTAGTACAGGTAAGGCGGGACCGAGTGGTGAGGGATGAGACTGAAATGCACAAGGTCAGCAAAGCCAAGCGTAACAAGTGACGAGGGGTATGACTGAAATTAGATGAGATCAGCACAGGTCAGGTAAAGTCAACTGGCGATCCGATTCCTCAGCCTCCGTTAGCGGAAAATGACACAAAAGGTCGCGATCAGCGCAGGCCAGAAGAGCCAACTGGCATCCGTGGAGGGAAATGAAAGACAAGAACAAGAAAGACAAGGTCAGCACAGGTCACCTTGTGATGTGAGACAGCGGCGTACTTCAACAGAGACTGGAGCACAACAGCAAGATATACATATGGCAACGTATGGTCCGCTAAAGGATGCTACCAGGTAGGATGCTTTCTTAAGATGTTTGGAAAGCTCCAAACGCTATTTAAACTCCCCAAGGTCACACCTTCCATGCATCGGCGCAGGCCCAATGTTGAAAAATTCAATTATTGGGGCGGGCCGTCAAGGAGACACTTCTGGATGGCACTAAGCCATCACATGCCAAGTGAGAAGTGTTCGGGTGGGGTTGGTTGGTGGGGATGAGTCCTGTGCTCCTCGGGGGTGGCTGATCCGATGCTGACCTTTGACGGTTCGCATGCAATTAGACGTCACCTTAGATAACATCGATACAGTTGTACATGTCAACGGAGTTAGTCTTCAAGTCGTAGTCAGCGGTTTGATAGTCTTCCCAGCAAACGCAAAACTGACAGGCCGTGCGCACCTCCAACATCACTTGACGGCCCTCAGTCTCACGTAGCAAACCGAGGCATCCACAACCGGCAGCGAAATATCCGAGGTCGGTGCGTCTTACGGTGATCGCCACCGGCCTGGACACCCAGCCGAACGAGAGTCGGTCCGGCCCGGATGACCTCGGCTCGATCTCGAGACGTCGCGACATCCCCAGAGCCCTGGGATGGTGACCCGTGCCCCGAGCGCCGCTGTCGACGCGGGCCCATCGCCAGATGGGCCTGTCCGGCGCTGGTGCCCGCCAAGTCAGCTCCAGTTCAGCCGTAATTAATCGGACAAGAATGCAGGCGCTGGGGTCAGGACGGCCGGTGCAGCCGACCGGTGCCGCACTGCAGCAGGGCTGGGGGAGATGGCGGGGAGTGGGGCTCGCGGCGGGAGCAGGCGACCACCGCCGCGTTCGCCGCCGTCGAACAATCATACATAATGGCACAGTAAATTAATTAGCTGCCTTTAAATTATACGCTCGTGCATTAACGCCAGCTTGAATGTGCACGGGCTGAAGGTTAATGCGGCCCGTCCGGGTGGCTGCATCTTGACGATGGGGACCAGGCGTATTTTGTCCCCCGTTCGACCGCGCCGTGAGATGAGATAGGCTGTGTGGCGTGCCGGACGGCGCCGGCGCCGCTGCTGACCGGCCAGTCAGTCCGCGCCACTCTCAGGCTGCTTTGCAGCTGTCCACCCATGCAGCCTGATTGAATGCGATTCGATGGAAGAGCAGCTTGGAGAAATGATGGCGATAAAGCTCAGAGAGTTTCCGTTGTTGGCAATGGATGGCTCTGGGTACGTTTGTATATCAACGGCCGCCCGCCAGCCACGTAGGACTTGGTGGCTCATATTCGTGCATGTAAAGGGCGATGTCATGGCTGGCAAAGGAGAGCCCATGTGGCACGAGTTACTGAACGGATGTTTTGGGGGCGGTGACTCTTAAGCCATCCTTATAGATCTCTGCAGCGCAGTTTTACTGTCCAAACTTGAAAAGATATTTTGGCAGCCTACTAGTAATCACGCTTCCTACCCGAACTTTGTTGTGTTTGCCTCTAAATGGCATGCAACTTTGCATGACCGCGGGTGGAAATGGCTGCTGAATCAAAATAGTGTGTTCACGGATTTCGGAGGCTCAGTCAGAAGCAGCCAGTGCGGGTATAGATAGCTATGATATATATGATATATATAGATGCGGGTAAAGATAGCTATAGATGTCCATGACGTGGCAATTCACCTATGGGTAGGGTGAGATTGAAGGCGTCGTTTTCACATGCAAACTATGGACGTTAATTGTTTGCGTTACAGCGCTATGAATGACCATATCGGACAACAAACACGCTGTTATGGCTATGGACTGCGGGTGTGTAAATGACTGCCAACATCATGCACGGATGACCTGGCACGTGCAATGTGCGTTATGCATGTAGGCAACCCCTTCGATGCATAGATAGAAACTAAATGCATAACGAGATTAGACCCAAACGTAATGTCGCACCCGAATACCATGGACGATTAATGCAGCAGATTTTCTTATCTTGACACGTACTCCTCCCAACAACCCCGCGACAGCAAACGACCGCCCCCCCCCCCCCCCCCTAGGCCACCCTTTCGCCCGGCAGTTTGATCATCGCGCGGGCGCGTTAGCACCGCCTGTGGTGACGGCTGTATCAATGGCCGGTCGCCGAGACAATGGACGGGGTGTAACCGGCGTGGCGGCGGTGCCGGCGCCGCCACGCCGCGACCCGACCGCTCCCACGCCGCCGCCGCAGCACCGGCAGGCGTCGAAGTTAACGAAGCGGCGCGCGCGCCGAGTAAATTACGGCCAGGACAGAGCGGAGCGTACGGTCCCGATACGATCGGCGCCCTGTTGACGGGCGCGCTTTACGGCTGTGGCGGGCCGGGCGGCCCCGTGCAGCCGTCTGACCTGGCCTGGAGGCGCCGCACACCGCACGCCGTCAACGCCGGTGGACGGGGTCGCAGGCGGGCTGTGGCGGGTCGGGCGGTCCCGTGCGGCCGTCTGACCCGGCCTGGAGGCGCCGCACGCCGCACGCCGTCAACACCGATGGACGGGGTCCCAGACAGGCTCTGGCCACTCAGCGTGGGACGGCTGGCGCTTGGGACGGCTGACGCTCTAAGCAGGGCGGCCGCCGGGCAGCGGTCTGACTGACGGCGGAGGGGATCCAAGGGGAGTGCGTGAGTGGATGTGCGGATCCCAGGCGCCCTTGTGCGGCGCTGGCTGGCGTCCCCTATGACCTGCGGTGCTTCCGTCGCGAGGATCCGCCGCTGTCACGCACTGTCATGCACTCCTGCCCGTACCTCATCCGGGGCACGCGCCCCGCTGACGGAGGGCATCGCCTCTCCGCACGCACCCGCTGGTAGCCTAGTAGCCACCAGGGACGACAAAGGCCTCACAAAGAGCCGACAAAGAGGCGACGAAGAGCGGGGGCGGCGGCAGCAGCTGGTGTTGGCCCCGCGGCTCCGCCGGCCACGCCGCTCCGGGTCGCACGGGTCATTAAAGGCGACCGGGCCTCATCTGGCCGCCAGAGGGTGGCGGCGGCGGCAGCGCGCCGCCGGCGGAGGGTAGGGTGACGCAGCGCTGCAGGCGGCGAACCATGCGTGCAGCCAAATTACAACCGGAATTAAAGAGACAAATTTCGGAGATGATGAACAGAAGGCCGCGGCTTCTCGGCAGCTCTTCGCCGCATTCGCGCTGCGTGAGGAACGGCCCGCGGCTATCGTGGCGCGATCAAACCCCGTCGAAGCTCGGGCGCCGGCACCGTCCGGCGCGTCGTCAAATCAGACGGCGCGCCGGCCCAGCGCCGCCATTTTTGTCTGGGCGGCGGGCATTTCTCATCGTGTCGGCAGCGAGCGGTTACACGACTGCAGCCGTCGCCGCCTGACAAACGAGCCGCGGCCACCGCACTCCGATTGAGTGGAGATGTTTGACTTGGAGACGAACGTGCGACGCCCGCCACCAGCCACCGATAAAACGGCATGGCTAACTGACGGCGAGCGAATGCCAAGTTCAATAGCATCAGGCGCGAAAGCAAGCTGGGAGATCACTTGTCTGGGCTGATGTGCGTACTGTAGGCCTTTCCGGGTATGGTCGCTGGAGACCAGTTTTCGATCGGGTCTGACGGATTGTCGCGATCGACATGAGCGTCCACCGGCTATGAGTCACCGGTATTGGTGCGGCCCGACATCAAACCATCGCTACAAAGCGCCTCGGGACATTTAACTGTCGGTACTGGTAGGTCCACAGCACTAAAGCCGTTGCATGATGTTGACCCGGATATGACATATGATCATGATGCGAACTCCAAACGACCATTTTAATCACCCGATTAGAACAACTGAAGCCATGCAATCAATAGCTCGCCTATCGACTAAGTCGCGATGAAACACAGCAATGCCTAACGGAGGTCCAGCCTAAGCCTTTCATTCGACCGCCGAGGCGAACCTATGGCTTCAGACAAAAATTAATTGGCGTCAGCACGATCGATGCAGTTAAAAAGACTAATTCGTCAGGAAAAGGAACAATTACCGGCTCACTTGGTCGCGGCCTCGCACCACTGAGACCGTGCGGCCTCAGTATTTGACTGTCGCACGTGCCGGACACATCCTCCTAGTTTGGCAGCGGTGGTCCAGCCTTGCACAGCGGGCGGATTGGACGCTGCGGCGGTGCTGGACCAGCCCGATTGAGGCGCGGCATGCAGCGACGCACTGCGCGGCGAGCGTGGCGCGGCGAGATGCGCGAGTAGCCGACTGTGGCGCACCTGATCCACACCCGACGAGCTCCCAGCCACAGCGCCGGGTTCGTGACGCGGCGGCCGCAGCTGCCAACGTATACGGGCTCAGTGGCTGGAAGCGTGGTGATAATAGCGGATATCGGTGGTGCTCGCACACTAAAGAGTTTGTGGGTAGCGTCGGATGACATTGACAGAGCTGGCTCTTTTTCGCTCACCCTTCCAGGCGAGAGGTAAACAGTCAATAGAGCGGTGTCGACCAGCGCGTCCTTGTTTCACTGCAAATGAACCGCCCGGCGGCTGCAACCATACATCAGCCCCACGACAGCAGCTGATAGGACGTTAACTCGCTGCGGGCGTGTTTGTTGAGACGCGGCGGGCAACCGCGCCGCTCACGCGCTCCGATCGGTGACCCGGTGACCCCGCGCGCGCTGTCTGTCGCCGCGGGCATGGCGGTGGGGAGGGGTGGCGTGACCCACGACCTTCCCTCGCGACGCCTCGCTTGCAAATCATCGCCTTACGAGCGGGCCATGCCGAGAGGTCGCCCCAGCATCTGAAGTATAGCGTTTGTTAATTAGTATTTTACTGCGGCGCCGGGTCCCACGGAGCTGGTGCTACAGCGGGTAGACTTGTTCCGGGTCCTCCATTGATGCTGACCCGCTGTGCCTGCACATATGCCCTTGGACCAGTCTCACGCTCGACATGCACTCGTGTGACATAGTCGCGGTGATGTGTTCTCGTTTGGAGAGCGAATGGAATGGTGTGCTCAGTAAAGCTGTCATAACACGGAGCAGTGCAAGGACCTCGCCGGGACGCCAGCACTCGAGGCTCACGCTCGAGGCAACCCCCAAACAAATGGGATCGTCGGGCGTCATTTTCGATCGATTATCATCTCTCGTCGGCGGATAAGTGCTCGACTGATCGGAGCCGTTTTCGAGCAAAAGGCATGCAGTGTCACCGGCTTCACACGATCACAACTGGTGCTCTGCGCGCGTTCACCCTGGGTCTGTGCCGCCTCATCGACCCCAGCAGGCCTCATTTCTAATCATGCGCCTCGGAATCTAACTTCCACGCCATTAGGTGGGACAGGGTCGTCTCCGGATCGATTCGGCCCTCTGCAAGATTCATGCCGAGCGTGTTCTGATTATACACATTGAGCGCGGCCGAACGCCAGCGACAGAAGCCTGGCGCTGGCTCGGCTAATGCTGGCCTCATTTGACTCCTGGGGTGACGCTGAGGCCGCCAAGGAGCGTCACACCACTTCCAGGGTATCTGGGGAGATGGCCGGCAGATCACACGCAAAGTGCACGAGGCTCCTTCATCTCGCAGCTCTGTGTTGGCTCCTCTCACGGTCAGGCAGCTCTGAGGGCGATAATTAGCTGGTGGCACGCGCCGGCCGCCGGGTGTTAAATTAGCCCCCCCCCCCCCTCCCTCTCCATCGACCGACGCTTTACAAGCGGCCGCCGATGACAAACGGCCGGCTACAATGGGAGGCTATTGACACTGGATAACGCGACCAGGCGGGTCCGATAATGATGCGGGGCGCCGCTAATGCGCTGCAGCCGGGGCGGCACGTCCCGCCGTGGAACTGCAGCCGGCGTGGCACGTCCCGCCGTGGAACTGCAGCCGGGGTGGCACGTCCCGCCGTGGAACTGCGGCCGGGGTGGCACGTCCCGCCGTGGAACTGCGGCCGGGGTGGCACGTCCTGTCGGCTCCCACCTGCAGCCGGTGTGGTGAGGAGGTGATCGTCCTGACCTGACCCCCCGCTCTTCCCCGGTGATGGAGGCCGACCAGGCCCGGTCTCCCGGGCGGTCACCTGGTCCGTAAGCACTGAGCCGGTGACCGGATGGCTTATTGAGCAGCTTGTTAGCATACGGCCCGGTGCGCCGACGGAATGCGGTCCGGGGGGGGGGGGGGGGCAGGGGGGGGGGGGCTGAGCGGGGTGGAGAAGCCATATGAAAATTCCGGTCGGTATGCTGCAGCATGCCACGTGCAGTTCATTGATGGTGGCCTGGTGGGCTGGAGAGCTACCAGCTCGTTTTGCGTTTAGATCCGAAATGGAGGTCAGAAAATGAATAATTATGCAGTAAGAGAGAACAAATACGAGTGGACTTGAACAAATTCGCGTCAAGTTAAGCATATTTACGCGAAGCGGAGGCCTGTTTCTTAGGGCTTTGTATCACTATGATATTGATTCCTGGCTTTGCCAGGCGTAGGATGGTCCATCCGCCACACTGTCTTCACTCTGCTTCTTCCTGAATCATCCCCGCTCATCCGGGGCAGGCTACATGCACCAGCCATGAGTGGGCCCACGCGCCCCTGGTGGGGCCCGTCCGAGCGCCGAGTACAAACCTCGAACAGGGGTCCCTGTGCGGCTTCAGCCTCGGTGGCTGGACCCCGAGGTGCATGCAGTTCTGCCCCACCGTTAGCCACTCTCTTTCCTCCCACAGTCCTGAAATGGTAATAACTGGCCGAAACGGCTCTAATTCAAACAGTCACACCAACCCTAGAGCAGTCATGCGTCGCACTGTACCCTACTCAGATGATGCCGGCCACAGGGGGTGGCTGTTTGCTGCTGACGGCAACCGAGTCCGAAGCAACCGCACGCTGCGGACTCTGGGAGCTGGCCGGCGGTGCTGGGAGCACTCACCTGGCGTGAGGGGCTGCGGGCCTCGGGGGTGGGCGGCTGTTCGGCGGCCGCCGCCGGCGCCGGCCCGTTCTTCATGGCCTGAGACGCCTCGGTCAGGATGTGAGCGATGCGCTCGTCAGACGCCGCCTCTTCCGGCCGACTCTGGAGTGTCGGCCGGCTGGCCTCCTTGCCTGGGGAGCAGGAGGGCACGTGTCAGCCGCCTATCGTCGCCAGCGCACCTCCACACGATAGCCATCTCCTGCCGCACGACGTCACCGTCAACCTGACGTCATCAAACGATCCCGCCCGCCACGCTGCGTCTGCCGTGTCGCCCACATTGCATGATGTCACATTGCCATCACATCTGCCACATCACACTCATGCTGTCACACGTCAGGCGCAAAGGCACGACGGCGTAACGGCGTGACGGCGTAGCGAAGAAAACTTTCATAAAATTTTGTTCTCGTGATTATTGTGACACATTAGAAGCATAGATCAGTGCTTTCTACACAGCTCGATAGGCACCGTGCCCAAGTTAAGGAATTCAAGGGGCGAGAGTCCCTCCAAATATATGGCAAGTCTCACCCATGGCATAGTGTGAACATGACGTGACCATGCTATTTGCATGCAATGTTGAATTCGAAGCACACAGTTTTACAAGCTGCACTTCGCAAACGTTCGGAAAAAGAGACAGCGCCTTCCGAAAGATTGTTTCGGGAGAACACTACAGAAAACTGAATAATGCGCTAAAGACTCGCTGGGTATAGTTATTTTCGCTATGAGCGTTTTATTAACTCTCTTAATAAGAGCTTTGGAAACATTTTTCCCTAGTGCGAGCATCACATAGTGGTATATTTGTTATGACAGATCTTAGGTCCATTACCGCTAAGGCTGAAAACAAATAATTTAACTTCATGCAAATCACGAGCGTCGACTAAGACAAACGCGGCAGCATTGGCCACATCAACAAATACTGGGGCGCAGCAGCTACAGTGTAACAATCCCCGAAGCGCTCTGCCAGCGACACCAGAGGATAGAGTCGTCACAAAAGTACGGAGCGTTTCGGTGGCGCTCCTGCGCCTGCCTCGCGCCAGTCCGATGCCGCCGCTGCCGTTGTCAGCGACTAGGCTGGAGCAGCGGCGGCCAGACACGTATGAATGCCCGGAAATTGTGGCTCGTGCCATGGAAAACATCCGCCAGCGCCGATCCGGGAGTCGCGTCTCGGCCCACACACGAGAAATGAACGTCGGCTCGACAAGGTCGGTGGTGGACGAGCGCCGTCGACGGCAGAACGATGTTCGGCAGCAGCTGACGGCGGGCGTAAATTACGTCACGGACGGACTGTGGTCGGCGGGAGTTTAAGAGGCGTTTCTGTCAGCGAAATCGAAGGGATGAGAAAGTAAACTGGCCCAGATAGCTGGCGGATGGAAAAAACAAACAGAGATAAATCGAGGAAAAACTTTCCTCAAGTGCATGATAACAATGATTTGTTTAATGAGCATGTTGGAGTAGGAACATCGCCGTAAAGGTCACGTTTGAAAATCAAGCGCAAAAACAGCTACCACACGGAAGGCTTAACACCTGTAATGGTTCCCATTGTCTTCGTTCCATTCAAACAAATGATATTTGCCTGACTGTGACGTCTTTCTCACCTTAAAGGGGTTGGCTCAATTGCGTATGGATTTTTTAACGGAAATAGACAGATCGCAGAGCAGGAAAGATAATCGCACCATGTCGTTATGGGGGTCTAAAATGGTTACCTGTCGTACGTCAGAGCCATAAGTTTGGAGACATGTTTTGTTTTGAGCATGTTTCGAGGATGGTATCATCCCAGACCGACATGACGTCACACACACACACACACACACACACACACAAGAGAGAATAGCCTCTAACTGACCGACGTTCGTCATCAGCAACGGCCGCTGCGGCAGCACGCTTGGATTGCCGCCTCCCTGGTATGAGGAAACGCACCTGGTGTGGGCGCGTTAGACGGTGACACTGTGCACAGCGGGGTGCCGTTTGGTCCCACTGGCACGGAACTGTCAGCTGGCAGCTGGCCAACGAAGGTTGACACAGGTTAGAGGTGGCAGTGGTGCATGTCACCTTTTGCGTGTTGGGTCATGCTACTTTGATGTTGGAGTAAACACAACAGTTTTTACTTAGCAAGTGCTTTGAAACCAAACCCATCCACGCCAACCCTTCAGAATGCATCCCATTTAGAAATTGAGATTGGATTGAGTTGGACATCACGAGCAGGATGAGGAACTGCGACAAGTGTTCGATATTTACTGGTTTTTACGAAAGCCACACACACACCAGAGAGAATGGTTCCTGACTGACCGATGCACGCTATCAGAGGTGGCCGCTGTGACAGTGCGCTGAAAGGTGAGATACACCCTTCGAAACGCCTCAATCGTACAAATACCTCCACCTCTTTCATATGTCCCATCAACATGGACATTTCCAGCATCAACATCAACATACCAACAGCATAAATGCAAGGTCTTCAAGAATCAGATCATAAGATTATGTTGAAGGGCCAAAGAGTTGGAAAAATGTCGTGCATAGTCTAAGATTAGGGGAATTTCGAGAAAGACGGTTTAAGCTTTATTCAACCTTGCTGGTAATTGTTATCCAAAGTTAAAAGGACGAGTCGAACAACGCATGAGTTATTTCTAGGACAATGGGCTGAAAATCGGGAACAACTAATCCCCTCTCAAAAATCAGTAAATATTTGCAACGGAAGAGGAACATATGATTTAAACGGTGCGATGGTATGAAAGGTGCTTGGGGCCTATCGCAGACCTGTGACCGCCACAGATATCCCACAATCCTGCCGCTTCCCAGCCGTAAAGACGGTCATAGGGAAATCGGCCGCCGTAAATTCGGATCAGCAGCTAGGTCGGTGAGCCGCCAGCTGTAGGTCGGTGAACCGCCAGCTGCCCCCGGACATCGCTGGGCGGCGTGGGTCTGCCCACTCTGCTCTCCGCCCTCAGCACGCCCGTGGATGTGTACGTATGGCCCGCGGCTTCGGATCCCCGCGGCGAGGATCCGAACGAGTCGAAAACTCAGACGGCGGGCGCATCGAGATTTTGGAGCACCGCTGGGCGCAGGAACGCTGCTCCGAGTGTTGAACAGGCGGTCGCTATCGATCTGTCCTTGTTGATGGCACTTATTTGCATAATAAATCGGCCGATTGGGCGAGTCCATTTATCGAAATGAGAGGGGCGGCTGCGGGAGGGAAGGGGAGCGGCTAAATGGCCGCGGATGTCGTCGATTGAGACACTGGCGGCCGTTGACGGCAATCAGAGCCGCGTCCAATGCCGCAATGGGACGGCGGAGACGGCCGCTCCTCGGCGGGACCGGAGCTCTGGCCGCCGCCGCCACGGCCTGGCTGCGACCGAGCCCAACGGCAGCCTACCGGCTCGATGCGCGCCCAACGGAAGGTCATTCTGCCGCTGGCTAGCTTGAGGCTTGAGTCGCCAGGTGCGGAGCGCGAGCTGTGGTCGGGTTTCGCACGAGGTTTTCTCTGGTTTTGAGTGGGGGCTGGCTGCGCCGCCGGTGGTCCTGGTGTTCCAGCGGCTTGGGATAGCGTCACGACGGGCTGCCGGTGGCGCGTGCAGAGCCACCGGACAGGACAAGGGAGCCGCTGCCTGGCCTGGCCGGCAAAACAAGCCGCGTCACTGTCAGTGGCTCGGTAACGGGCCGTGCATAACATCAGCCAGCATCGCAAGATAAACAACCAGATCGGGTGTCCACGGAGGCCCACCGAGCTGTCTATGGTCGCTGTTACGTCAGCGCAAGCTGAATGCCCCGCTGCTCACAATCAAGCCGTTGAAGACGCCAACTGTGAAGTGGCGCCTCATACAACAGCTTCTGCGCCTTCGTGCATTTCGCCACAGCTCCCAGGCCGTAAGGTCTGAGCACCACGAAAAACAGCACTTATAGGGAAGTGCAGTGGTTGCACGCCGCACTCGCATGCAAATGGTGCGGGTGAATGATATCATTGAATAACCTCCATGATAAACCCGGCGCCATTCTGCCGGCTAATTGCAATGTTGCGCGACCAGAGTCAGTTAATGCGGAGGCCTGCGTCCGCGCCATTAATTCAGGCTTGGAAATCGCCGCCCAGTTGTCATAGAGAAGTCGATCCGATTCCGATAAATAGCCGGCGACCGATCGTAACGTTTGTCCGGCTGACAAGCTGCGACATCACCGCGCCGGCCGGCCGTAATTCGGCCGCGCAACGATTGTCGCCACCGCGCCGCGAACGTCCGCCGCGTCCGCCTCGGCCGTGATATATCGGCGTGGTTCCCCGATAATGTCCAGGTCGAGAGGGGTCGGCAGGGTTACGTTTATTCCGCACACACGGGCCAGGGCGGACAGTGATGGCGGCAATAGTGTCTGTCGGGCACGGCCGGTGATCACTGCGGCCGGCCGGGACCGCCGTCCTCGCACGGCGCCGCGCCAGCCGGCCGGCACGAACTCACGGCGCCGACTGCCAAGGCCGCTGCCAGCCGATGGCCAGCCAATGCAGCCGATATAAACAAAGACTGGGATATCGTTCGGTGGCGCGCCAACGGAAACACAGGTGCGCGGTGCCCTCCTCAGCCAGCACATACGCCGACGGCCGACCGGCGGCCAAAGAAGCGTGCCTCTTCACGCCAGGCTATCCATTATCGTGCGGAGCAGACTGGACCGGCAAATCAATGTTTACCCTGGCATCAATTATCGATTGCTGCCCGCCTACGAGCAACTAGTGTTTTCTTAGGAACAACTGCTCGCCGGGGTATTTAGCTGATCGAACGGAGGAGCTGTCGGAAGCCATTTGGCTGTTGATAAGTGTTTTGGAGTCGCACCGGTCTGTTGTGCAAATATCGCTCTGACAAGACCCGCTTCCGTTGCCCTCAGTCGCAGCAGGACGAGCTAATCCAGCGGCGGCGACGCCTCACCGGCCGTAGATCAAGTCTCCCGCTGACTGGGCGACTCTTCGGCTGCCTCCCCCACCTTTTTGCCGGCCCGCTAGCTCCCGAAACGCATAGGGAGCGACGACAATCCAGCGCAAATTATAATAAATTGTATCGGCGACAAACGGACGCGCGGTTCCGGCGCTTTGTAAAAAGGCGACGGCGACAAAGTCGCGGCGGGGGCCAGTGCCGGTGTCATCGATGGCTCGGCAGCTGCGGCG